TATATTTTTTAAAGTGCGTTTCATTGTGCAAAGTGAATCAATCGCCTTCCCCACCATAATTAGGTTGTGTTAGGGGAGTTGATTATTTTAATAGGTTAAAATGTTATATTTAAAAATAGAGTTAATTTTTTTATAATTAAATGTAATATTTACGAAGAAAAAAGTAAAACGATTATACATTTGATGTGATATTTTATTTTTTAATATTATTTTAGTCCAATTAATCAAAATTTTTTTTTTGTAAAACGATTATACATTTGATGTGATATTTTATTTTTTAATATTATTTTAATCCAACTAATCAAAAAAAAAAATTTTTGCCGAACACTCCCTTAATGGTCAAATGAGGAAGCTTCGAGGAAACTCCCGAAGCAAACCAACTACTTGACTCCGAAAGTCAAAAATCGGTTTGGAGGTGCTTTCATCGTCGGTTTTGATATTTTTTTGAACAGCAATGCTACAGACCCCCACTGAGGATGACCCCCAGTGACCCCCCAGTGCCACGTGTCGGCCTGGGGTTGGCTGAAAACTCAAAAAAAAAAAAAAAAAAAAAAACTGTTTTTTTTTTTGACCAATGGGAGGTGACCCCCAGTACCCCCACTGGGGGTCCAAAGCTTTATTCTTTTTTGAATGAGTTCTCTTTTGATAAAGAGAACTCATTTTTATTTTTAAATTTTTTAAATTTTTTAATTTTTGATTTTTTTATATCATATCATCTTTTTATTTTTTTACATATTTTTTTTATAAAATGTAAAAAAAATCAAAAAATTAACTTATTTCTTAAAATAGGCCAAAATTTTGCAGTGTACGACAAGTTAGTCTCTTGGTTCTTAATTTTCACTTTTTCTCTATTTCCATTGTAACTGTTACTAAAATTACATTTTATATACTCTGTTTTAGCTATGCTTATTCTAAATCATTTAGATTCAAGTGTTTCTCTCAAAATCTCCGACTTAGTATTAACTCATTTTCTAGTCTCATCCACTAACACAATATTATCTGCAAAAAGCATATACCATGGCACATCTTCCTGAATATTGCGCATCAACTCATTCATAATTAAAGCGAAAAGATAAAGAGTTAAGGTTGATCTTTGATGTAACCCTATGATAATTGGAAATTCAATTGTCTCTACAGCAAGCGATCTAATAGTGGTCACCATACCTTTATAGATATTTCTAATCACATCAATGTAACTTTTTGTCACTCCTTTCTTCTCTAAAACCCACTAGATTATATCCCGAAGTACTCTATCATATGCTTTCTCAAGATTGATAAAAATCATATGAATGTTTATTTTCTTTTCTCTATATTTTTCTATTACTCTCCTCAAAAAATAGATTGCTTCCATTGTTGACCTACCAGGCATAAACCCAAATTGATTCTCTAACATCTCGGTTATATCTTACAATCGACGTTCTATCGCTCTTTCCCACACTTTCATTGTGTGACACATTAACTTGATTCCTCTATAGTTGTTGTAATTCTAAATGTCTCATTTATTCTTATATATTGACACTAAAATACTCTTCTTCCACTTTTCTAGCATTTTCCTAATCAACAAAATCTTACTAAATAACCTAGTCAACCAAACAACCCTCTTCTTACCCAAACATTTTCACGTTTCAATAGGCATATCATCAGGTCTTAAAGCCTTATTCAATTTTAGCTTCTTAAGGGCAAACTCCACTTTAAAGTCCCAAAACCTACGATAGAACTTATAGTTCTGGTTTTTCTTATTACGGCATTCTTCCTCTTCTTTTGACCTACCTTCATGTTTCTCATTTAACAATTTCTTAAAATAGTTCTTCCACCCCTCTTTAATCTCTGCATCATTCACCAACACCTTAGAGTCCTCACTCTTGATGTACTTAACCTAATTAAAATCTTTTGTTTTCCTCTTAGCAAGTTTGTATATCTTTTTCTCTCCCTCCTTACTATCTAGTTTAGTGTATCATAGGCTTTTAACTTAGTCTCCTTCACTATTTTTTTGGCCTCCTTATTGGCTAATCTGTAGCGTTTAAGGTTGTCCTCAATTCTATCATTCTGTCACTTTTTAAAGTTCTTTTTTTTCATCTTTATTACAACTTAGAACTCCTCCCTCCACAACCAAGTTTCCCTAAAGTTGGGTCATTTTCCTTTCGACTTTTTTAAGAACTTCTCTTGAGATTCTCTTTATGCAATTGGCCATCAAGTTCCACATAGTGTTAGTATTATCTTCCAAATCTCAAGTACTTTCTTTATCCATTTTATTCTTAAATATGTCTAGTTTATCCTCTTTTGGTCCACCAGTTAGTCCTACGACGCCCACTATCTTTCCAAGCCTAGTACTGCCCTTTAAAGCATAAATCTAGTACCAAAATCTTATGTTGAGACGTCAAGCTCTCTCCAGAAATCACCTTACAGTCGCTGTATTTTAGACAGTTCTCTTTTCTTACTAGAAAATAATCTATTTGGCTCTTAATTGATCCACTCTTGAAAGTTATTAAATACCTAATTTCTCTTCTTATATATAGTATTGGCCACCACTAGGTTAGAAACCAATGCAAAATCAAAAATACTCTCTCCAGCTTTATTTCCATCACCAAAATCATACCCATTATGCACCCTCTCATGACCTAGTTTATATACTTTTACATGGCCATTGAAAATCACCACCTATAACTAGGTTCTCTCTTACAGGTATCTCCTGTAATACCTTATCCATTTGGTCTTAAAAAACTCTCTTAGTCTGATTATCTAATCCTACTTTGGAGGGGGTATGTACTAATAACGTTCACTATAGAATTAAAATATAAGATCAAAATTTGAACACATAAAGATCAAAAAAATTAAACACAGAGAATTAAAATTTGAATAGATAAAAAAAATTCACAGATTTTCAAAAAAATTAAACAAATGGATTGAGATAAAAAAAAAAATGAGCAGATAAAAAAATTTCACAGATTTTGAACAGATAGAGAGAGAAATCCATAAATTTTGAACAAATAAATAGAATTTAGGAGAAAAATTGAACAGATAATAAAATTTGGACAGATATTTAAATAGATAAGGGAAAAAATTGAACAGATAGTCAAAAAATTGAATAAATAGATATAAATTTAAATAGATAGGGAAAAATTTGAACAGATAGTTAACAAAAAGTCAACAGATAAATTAAAAGGTAAAATTGGAATAAAATGTCTTCCAAAACTAACAAAAGAAATTCTTACCAATAAAAAATATCCACTGAATTTAATGTCTTATACACTCTTTACTTTGGATTTTTCAACAATTTACTCTTATAAATATTTTTTTAAAATACAAATTGTCTCCATTCTTAGAAATTTTTTATCTAAAAGAATTATCAGGAAAAACAAAATTAACTATTTTTTTTTTATATAACAATAAAAATACATGAATTGTTGATTAAAATGTATTTATAATATCATTAAAAACTGTTATTAATGTGATAATTTATTAATAAAAAAGATAATTTGTTACACGGTTATAAACTTAAAGGGGCATGATGTAATTTTTGAAAACATAAGGACTAATTTGTATTTTAAACAAATTTCAAGTGTTGTATTTGTAATTTATCTATTTTTATTTTTATTTTTTATGGCGATTCAGTTTAGTGGATAAATTACATTTTGTCCCCTTTATGTTTACCATTTTCTCATTTTGGTCTTAACTTTTGTTTTTCACATTTTTTTTTAAAAATTTACTTCATAGTTTAAATTTATCTTAGAGGTATAAGTTAAAAATAGGATAAACCTTCTTAAACTATGACTCATTTACACTTTACCGCCCTAAATTTTAAAACTCAACAGTTAATCATGTGGAACTATTATTTTCATTAGGATTATATTAGAGATTTAAACGGAATCAAGTCATATATAAATTACGTGACACACTTATTGATTTTTTAAAATAATAATACCCGTTATTGATCTTTTTAGAATAATAATCACTCTATTTGGTTTCAATTTCTAGAATTTACTTTTCAAAAAATTCTACTTTTTCGTTTTTCATATTTTTTGTTTTCACTACATTTTTTTGAATATTTTAAGTAATTTTTTTTTAGACATACCTAACCTAAATACACTTAAAAAATCTAATATTTGTGAAAAAAATCTTTAAAAAATCCACTAAATACTAAAAATATAAAAACATACAAAAATTTAGTACATTTTTTATATTTTTGTGTATTTATTAATTTTTAAAAATATTTTACTATTTAGATACATTTAAGTAATTTTATTATTATATAGGAGAGCAATTATGAATTTTATTTTTTTAATTAATTCTATTAAATAAAAAATTCTAACAAGAAAGTATTTGTAATTTTTCAAACTATAAAAAATAATTTATACTTTAAATAAATCTCAAAAAATGTATTTATAATCTATCCATTTATTAACAACATTTAACCAAAATTTATATTTGTTGAGGCTGATGTAAAAGCTCTAATGAGCCACACAAAAAGTAAAGCTAACACACTTTATTTACCATATATTTTTGGTGGGTCAATCATTAGATATTTTTTCATTAGATATTTTCTTTTTTCGAGTGGAAAAATGACTAGCTGTTTATAGTCTATAGCGTTGATTGAAAATATAAATATTAAAATTATGTTTAAATTATAAATTTAAGTAAAATTATAACTTGACTATTAGTTAAGATAGGATACATAATCCAACGGATTCGTAGTCCTAGGACTATGAGTCTTGGGAATGCTAATCCAGTCCGTCCAGACAAACATGACCTAAAATCATTAGATATTTTTTCATTAGATATTTTCTTTTTTCGAGTGGAAAAATGACTAGCTGTTTATAGTCTATAGCGTTGATTGAAAATATAAATATTAAAATTATGTTTAAATTATAAATTTAAGTAAAATTATAATAATTTTTTTAAATATAAATAAAATATAATTATATTTCATTTAACTTTTTATTATCCTTTTTTTTTCTTTTTAAACCTCTATTTAATTTCATCATTCAAACACAACTTAAACTATCAAAATGAGTCTGTCACTCAGTCAATTGCTGGTCAACGAGGAAGCTGAGAAGGAAACCCCAATCAATTCCAGAGCAGCCAACGACTCCCAACTCCAAATGCTACGCTTAGCAAGTCGTTGGATAACACAAGTAGGAAGAGCATTTCCTTATTCTCTGCTATGGTGGTTTATTTTCGTTTGCTGAATTGGGTATTTCGAATGGGTTTTCCTCCATTTTTTCTTTCTTTGTTGTCTCCCATTTTAGTGATTGTTCACTCTACTTGGCAAGACGACAAGTACCAACATGGTTGTCCACAGTCCTTCAACTGTGGAAAACTTGGGCCTATCAAATTCCCTTTCTCCAACGGCACATATCCCGGATGTGGGTTGTGTACTGTCAATTGTAGCGAACCAGTACCAATAATCTATTTGGGGTGGACGCACCAACCGTATGAAGTTAAGGAATTCTTGAATGATGAAGCTGTAAATGTTAGTGACAAATATCTACGAAAGCTCATAAGCTCTAATTTGCCACATTTTCAGTAAAATTTCTTTTTCCCTATCCTACTCGTTCTATTTCCTATACAATCTCTCCCAACCTCTCCTCCTTGTTCAAATGCCCTACAAACGGCAGCAGTAAACCTCAACTGCAGACAGAAGTTTACAGTTTCAGCAACTGCACAGGCTACACTGTCTACTATACAGATCCTAATCAACATACTCCAACTCCTGCCAATATTTCACCTGACTGTGTGGTTATTCAACTACCAATGCTGCCATCAATCCGGAATCAAAACGTCAGTGATCTATTTTCACTATTGGCTTATGAATTCACTATCGGGTTGCATGTGTCAAAGGAATGTTACGAGTGTCACCATAATGGAGGCCAATGTCCATCTCCCGGCCTCGGAGAGTTCCATTGCATAAAGGATGAAGGTATTGGCATTTCTGCGTATGCATGCTATTACTTAACATTAGACTTTATTTTCAGACAGCCTTTTAAACATGCCGAATATTTAATTTTTTATTGACATTGGTTGCAAGAAGAAGTAACTAATATACGTAACTTTTATAACTAATATTTTTAACGTAACTTTTATAACTAATATTTTTATGCATGAATATATTTAGATGCTTGGTTTCCAATCTACTAAACATGTCTAATTGCTTCAGCTGCCGCTGGAGTTGGGATTTTATTAATTCTATTGTTCTACATCATAAGGAAACAGGGCCGGCCCTGGGAGGTGAGGCGCTACGGCGGTCGCCTCGGCCCCTAATTTTGAACAAAATTTAGGGCTCCTAATTAGGAGAGTATATCATGTCTTGTTGTTTCATAATTATTTTAATATTGGCTCAATTTATTTATTTTTATAAAATTTATTTAATTAAAAATAAATAAATTTTGATTCGTGTTCGATTGATGTTTAATATGAAAAGTTTCACTTTTAATTAAAAATAACTTAGCAAGTGTATGGAGAGATTAAACTTTTTTCCATAAGTTGAATTTTACAAAATTTATTTCTATTAAATGAAATTATTCATAGAATGTTTGATTTTAATTCAATTGCATTTTTCTAATTAAAAAAATTGTACCTTATGACTATATATTTTTTACTAGATTGACTCTAAAATAGGAAACAAAAAGATACATATCTTAAATGAAAAAAAGATATTAGCTTTAATTATTATTTTACATACTTTTTTATTTAGTTAGATAGAATTAAATAAAAGATTAAAAAAATGTCATGGCATCCCTTAGTGAACATTAAAATATATAACTAATAATTCATGTTATTTTGTCGTGTCATACTTAGATTCATGTTGAAAAATAGTCAACCCTAACTTGCTAATTTTGTATATTGCTTGAGTTGTGTCGAAAATTCTCATCCTAACCCTCAATTAATTTTAGTTATTATAGCATTGGTAAGCTAAAAAATAAAGATTTAATTCAACTAATTGAAATTCAACTATTATATATATATATTTGTTATCTAAATTTTGTTAAATTGTAATGCTATAGAATTTATTTTTATTTTTATTCTATTTATTTTTTATTTTTTTGATAATGATATATGAAGGGCTCAATTTAAAAAATTTGCCAAAGGTCCCCAAGGAAACTCTTGCAAAGTGAATTGACAGAGAGCTACCAAAATGTTGAGAATTTTCTAACGAATTATAGATCTCTTACTCCAAAAACGTACACTATTCTGACATAAAGAAAATGACCGACTCCTTCAGAGTTAAACTTGGTCAAGAGACTTTGGTTGGGTCTTCAAAAGAAAGTTACAAAATGGTTGCTTTGTGGCAATGAAGGTTCTAAAAGGATTGAAAGGTACCGGAGAAGAGTTAGTACTAATGAGGTTGCGACCATTGGTTGGACATCTCATGTTAATATTGTAGACTTTTAGGCTTTTGTTTTGAGGGTCACAATAGAGCTCGTATATACGAGTTCATGCCTAATGGATCACTTGAGAAATTCATATATGATAGGAACTCGTCGACATTTCATCAATTGGGGTGGGAAGCATTTCATCTCTCTCTCTCTCTCTCAACCAAGGGCAATTCATTTTATGATCAGTTAATGATTCAACTGGGTAATGCCAACATGCCAACGAGGTGTTGTACTTAACTGTCTACTATGGCGGGATGCCAACTTATGTGACCATACCTATGTTAATGTAGTACAATAGAAGTAGACTTCTTAATTTGACATATGATATATTATAGTGTATTTTTCTTTAAATTAATCGTTCAACTACACAGTTCTATGAAATTATGACCGATTGTTCTACATTTTGTTAATCCAAAACTCAATTGCATCTTCATTATATTTGATTTTTTTTCCTATTAAGGAGAACTTCTAATGAAAAATATTGAAATATTCGTAAATCACTAGGGTGTTAACCTTTTCTAATAATACTGGACTGCGCTCACTTCACGAGTTGTAATGCACTACGCCAAAACAGGGCATTAACGACGGTTTTTTTAACGGTGGTTTCGTTACCGCCGTTTAAAGATACTATTAACGGCGGTAACGAAACCGCCATTAAAAAATCGCCGCTAAAGCCATTTTTAAACGGCGGTAATGAAACCGCCGCTAAAGCCCTCTCATTACTGCTGTTAATGACGGCGGTCTTTGTCGGCCGAGCTCCGGCGGAGCTCCGGTGAGTGGTGACCACGCGCGGCTAGGGTTGAACATGACCATCTACAATAAAGTAAAAGTAATGTTTAAATATTTATTTAGGAAATACATTTCATGAAGAGTGGCTGTGGTGGAGTGGTTGGTGTAGGTGGATGAGAGGTTGAGGGTTCAAGACTTGGGGAGTGCAAGAAGAAACAATTACTTTTTGAAAAATTTGAACCTATTTACGGCGGTAAAGAACCGCCGTTAAAGGTCTTATATTACCACCGTTTTTGGTCGACTTTTAACGACGGTAATTTACCTTTTTATGACGGTTGTACTTTTTCCGACACGCGCATAAACGGCGGTAATGAAACCGCCGTTAAAGGCTTTAACGGAGGTTTTACAGCCTTTAACGACGGTAAAAAACCGCCGCTAAAGTCCAACTTTGACGTAGTGATGGTATGTTTTTTAGTTTGAAATAGGACTAGATCACATCATTGGTATAAAAAAATTATGTTCATATAAAATTGAGTAATGTTATATGAAAAGAATTTCGGTACTCAATTTTCATATAGAATAATAAGGCATTTTGTGATTCTTGTATTTCAAAAACTTCAACAAGAGGCCTCAGCCTAAATCTATAGGACAATTGTAATTATTCTTTTTTAATTTCAGTTTCACAAATTGAATGGTTATGTTGCAGGGAGCAAAAGGAACTTGGAAGTAGAAGTTGCAATAGGTAATCTATTGCCCCATTTGATTTTTTATGTTTTTTTTACATGAAAATCAACATATTATTTTCTTTGAATTAGATTGTGCATTGCTTCAAATGAATGTTTTAAAACCCAATGGAATTAGCATCTCTCTCCCACAACTTGACTTTGCTTTGTTGTAATAATAATTGTAGGTGTTTCAGCTGCTGGTATAGTGATAGCAATAGTCCTGTTCTGCTGTATTTGGAGGTACTCATCAGGTAGATCAATGATCTTTTGGAAGAAGGCAAATGAAACCCATCAAAATGTTGAAGCAATTCTAAAGAACTGTGGTGCCCTTGCTCCAAAAAGATACAGTTATTCATGTGTAAGGAAAATGACCAACTCCTTCAAAGAAAAAATAGGTCATGGTGGGGTGTACAAAGGAAAGTTGAAAAATGGTAACCCCATTGCAGTGAAGTTCCTAAATGAATCAAAAGGTAATGGGGAAAAATTTATTAATGAGGTCACAAGTATTAGTAGGACTTCCCACATTAGCATTGTCAATCTTATGGGTTTTTGTTTCGAGGGTCACAAAAGAGCTCTCATCTATGGGTTCATGCCTAATGGTTCTTTGGAGAAGTTCATAAATGATGAAAGCACCTCGACAAAGCAGCAGTTAGGGTGGGAAACATTGTACCAAATTGCAATTGGCATTGCTCGAGGATTAGAGTACTTACACTGTGGTTGTTACACAAGAATCTTGCATTTTGATACAAAGCCTCATAATATTCTTCTAGATGAAGACTTCTGCCCAAAGACCTCTGATTTTGGTCTTGCTAAACTATGCCCTAAAAAGGAAAGTATCATATCTATGTTGGGCACAAGAGGGACAATCGGTTATATTGCTCCAGAAGTATTTTCTAGAAACTTTGGAGGTGTCTCTCACAAGTCGGACGTCTATAGCTATGGAATGATGATTTTAGAGATGGTTGGAGGGAGAAAGAATGTTGATTGTGGAGTTGATTATACCAGTGAAAAATATTTCCCAAATTGGATATACAAGCCTCTTGAACTGGAACAGGAAATTGGACAGCATCGTATCATGAATGAAGAGGAAAATGAAAGAGTAAGAAAGATGACAATAGTTGGTTTGTGGTCCATACAGACTGATCCTTCAAGATGGCCAATGATGAGTAGGGTGGTAGATATGTTAGAAGGGAGCCTAGAGTCCCTGCAAATCCCAACAAGGCCTTTCCTGTCTTATACCCCAAGAGCACCGGTAGATGCTTCAACTACAGATAATTTATCATCCTTGTTAAGGGAATCATTGTAGAATAGGAAAATTTACTTGGTTTATTCCTCTCAAATAGTTTGATCTAAGGATTGCCGTAAATTAGTTGAATAGGTGGTTGATGCCTATTATTTTCAAAAGAAATCATATTATGATCCATTAATGTATATCTGGTTTCATAGCTAGGTGCATGTGAATGTCTATATGCTGCAGCTCTACATTATGGATTAGTTTTCCACTAATGCTCTGTTTGTGTTTTGTGGAAACAATTTTTTGTGGCAAAATTTTTCAATAAAATGTTTTTCGTAGAAAGCATTTTCCGGTGTTTAAAACTAATGTACTAGTAGTTGTATTAATGGCAGTGAGGTTGTGGCGGTGGTGGTGGGTTAGTGGGCGTGGTAGTAACGGAGTGATGGTGTCGTGGTTTTTGTGGTTGCGGTAGTGGTGGAGTGGGGTGGTGGTGGTGCCGATGGTGGGGTGATGGTGACAATGGTAGTGGTGATAGTAGCAACGGTGGTGTGTTGGTGGAAGTGATGTGGTGGTATTCATAAGACGTTTGTCCAAAAAATATTTTCCACCTTTCAAAATAGAAAAACATTATTCACCAAAAAATTTCTGTTAATTTTTGTTTTCAAATATATAAAATGCTAGAAAATGTAGAAAATATTTTCCAAAAATGTTTTTTATCCAAACAAATAATGCCTAAGTTATTACACAATTATAAACCAGCTACTTTAAAAAAGGTGTCAATGATAAATGTAAATCATTCACTCTTCAGAGACTTGTGTAAATAATTTTGTGTAAATAACATTTTTATTGATTATTAGACATGATAATTGCAATAAGTCAAATTTACAGAATTTTTTTGAGTTTTTTGAAAGAAAAAAAAAAAGACTAAAAAATAGTTAATGTTATATGGCTAAATGTCCCATCTCCCACAGTACTTCAAAATTGAAATAACGGAGTTGATGCGTCTCTCTAACATATGCACATGTAAACCTATTTCTTAATCCCAACAATAGTGATGCAAACAAATGTGGTTCAAGTACATTCTTTGAGGCCAAATATCTAACGATTCAGTCCAGGCATTCAAATCTGAGCAAGGATCCTCTAGAGTGATTTTTCCCTAAAGTTTCCTAAAGTGCTACAGTGTATGGTTGAGATTTACTGGCAAGTCACATCAATTTTTCTGATGTGACTTGCCAATAAATCTCAACCACACAATATAGCACTCTAGGAAACTTTAGGGAAATTTCACTCTAGAGGATCCTTGGTGTTCAAATCTCAACCAAAATTTACCAAATTTTAGTGTTTGTTATTAACCAACTCCCCCTCACTTCAACCAAAATTTCCCCTGTTAATGCACAAAACACCTAGGCTTAACTACAACTCCACATGCAAACTTCCCAATGAACAGAACAAGTACAGGTTCAAAAACTAAGGCTCCTTTTGTACAAGCGAATTTTAAACGAAAGAACTTGGAGGTTGAATCTAATAAATTTATAAGATTAAATATTAAAGGTAGATTGTTAACTCTATCCACCAATATAAAAATCTCAAATCCATTCTTACATATATCATGATCTAGAATATTAGATTGAACTGAAGACCATACTCTAGAAATTAATAATGCCAAATCCATTCATTTTAAATCTATAAATCCAAATGCAACCCAAGTGAATTTAGAAAAAGGGAAACCCCTAAAATTATTATATCCAATAAACAATCGCTCAAACATGACAGAGTTGCTAAAGTTCTACCTTCTATAAACAAACTATTATTCAATAAAACATTGCTTGCTTCAAAAGACCAACATAACAAAATAATAATTGAAAAAAAAAAAAAAAAAAAAAAAACTGTGTCTCAATGAGAAAGTGAATTACTTGAGTTGTCCATTTCACTAATTGAACGTAACTACTGCATTGGGATAGGATCTTGGAAAACTTAAAAACTTTTGAGCTGCTTGGAAAAGATCCATTCGCACCATATCGTCGGCCATTAGCATATTGATAACCATCTTTTGTAACACCCTTGCATTCTTCAATAGAAATTGCACAAAAGATAAGTCCAAGCCACTGTAATTCGAACTTGAACAAGTAGTTCTCCCTGCCAAAATGGAAAAGGTGGGGGAGATTGTCCCAAAAAACCTGCAGATGAAGAATCCATTAAGCTCTATGCATAAATTTAATGATGTCAAGGCAATTGTAGCAATGAACAACTTCTTATGATGGACAAGTAAAATTTATTTACTTATCCATCCCTACACTAAGCACTAGAATTGATATGCATTATTAGATAAAATACACACAGAGAGATTCAAATCCAGTCTTTGATAAAATTCTTTACATATCTCAAAGAAAATAATTAAGTTAAAGAATATTGAAAAACATACCACCCCATTGCTGGAAGGAGATGTGACTATCACTAATGTCACTAGATGAGAACAACTTTCCAAGAGGCTTGCTATTCCAAGCAGGACTGATCCCATAATTGCCGTATCTAGTGTTAAACATTCACACTTTGACAGTGAAGAACGCAAAACATTTGTTTTCATTATTGACAGTACCTTTGCCCATTAGAAGCAAGATGCAAAACAAATTAAAAAAAGAAAAAAAAGACACAACCAATTAGAAGATTCTAGAAGCAAGATGCAAAAACAAATTGAGAAGAAACAAAAATAGATGCAACCAATTAGAAGATTCCAGCAGATTGTTTGACAGACCCTAAACCAAAAAAATAGTGTACTGAAAAAGGAAAAACTACGTGGAATTTCATCGTCAGTGTATAATTTACAAACGATGTATCACTCTTTACATTGGAGCAAACAAAGGATAAAATCATTAACACGGTTATTTGTAATTGAGAAGCATGGACTTTTACTAATAAATACCATTTAGCACAAGAAAACAAGCACAAAACATGGACAAAGCCATAGCTCAGTTCTTTTTCTTTAACTCAGATGAGTCAATCTCAATATCTGGCCCACCAATATAAGTTGGCTATATATTGTGAATCAACGTTTTCAACGGTGGGAACACTAGGAAAAAAAAAGGACATCTTTTCAATAATTTGTAGGCCATCGGTTCATACTAATTGTTACCACACCCTTCTAATTTAACAAGTATGCACAAAATTGATGAATTGAATGGCAAAGTTACAAATAGAAACAATTCTTTATATTCGAGGATTTAAGTCAAAAAAACCAACAAATGATTCTGGAGACACAAAAATGGTGTAATTATCTACCAAGAGTTATGAAATGTCTACATTTAGTGCAGTTGAATATTTTCATAAACTCTTACCGGTAAGATAACTCAACTGTCTAGTTCAGATGAAGATAAGATATTCCCTAATTTTATAGGTCCAGCTTGTCTCTAGTTGGAGATAACCGTCCAATTCAGTTAGCGAGCTCACTTTTGGTCCCACCTCAATGATCAAAACCATCAAATTTTAGAGTTTGTCGAGTACATTATCTATATAAAAAATTAAGTCGATCAGATCAACCACATGTTCAGATTAGTTTTGTATTAACTGTTTATTTTCTCACTATCAGTTTTTTTATTAAAAAAAATCAATTTGTTTGGCATTATGCAAGAGAAAGATTCAATGCTGGAGTATTTTTTGGAGGAAGACTTTTGGCAGCCTCAACTCTTCTTTATATAATAGCAAATAAACATATGTAAACATATAATAAACCTATTATCTATTAGGTAGAAAGCTTTCTTAATCCAGATACTCAGACATCACATTTCAAGTAATTAGTACCAAATTTGAATAGAAGTTGAAGGTCCAAGCAAAATCATAGAATTATTCTTTTATTTTTTATTTTTTACATCCACAAGTACATTCTTCAGCTGAATTTCTTAGCATTCAGTCGGGGCATTCAAGTTTTAATTTACCAAATTTGAATGTGTTATTAACTAACTCCCCATCACTCCTAGAAAAGTTTCCCCTAACAATGCACAAAACAATTAGGATCACCATCAACTGCAGACTGTTTGAAAACTTCCCAGTGAACAAAACAAGTCCAGGTTCAACTAAGTGAATTTAAATAATCTTCATGCATAGCACAGTTTATAAAGTGCAACCCCCACATAACAGAGTTTCTAAAGTTCTGCCATTAGATATAAACAAAATAATATCCAATGAAGTATAGCCTGCTTCAAAAGTCAAACAGAACAAAATCGTAATCAAAGGAAAAAACAGTAGTGTTTCCACTGAGAAAGCGAATTACTTGAGTTTTCCATTTCACTAATCGAACATCACTACCGCATCAGGAGAGATTCTTGGAAAACTTAAAAGCTTTTGAGCTTCTTGGAAAAGTTCCATCGGCACTGTATTGTCTCCCCTTAGGCCACGTCTGATTGCCGGGTTATGGATAAACATCTTTTGCAGCACCCTCGCATTCTTCAATAGAAATTGCAGAAAAAAGAAGTCCACGCAACAGTATATCTGACTTGAACGAGTAAACTTAACTATTTTGAGATGCAACATCAAACACTTAAAAGTCCTCTTTTGTGATGTCCAGTAGTTCTCCCCATCAACATCAAAAAGGTGGGTGAAGGTGAGAATGTTCCAAAACCACGGCAGATGAAGAATTCAATAAACTGAAATCTATGCATAAATTCAAGGGTGTCGGCATAATTTTAGCAATGATCAGTTTCTTATACTCATTGAAATGATTCAAAATTCCACTTCACGGGTAACATGATGGGAAAGTACAATTTATTTACTTATAATTAAAAAAAAAAGAAGTATTTTCAAAATAATCACATCCAATCTAGACAAATAACTCATCAATCACTTCCTACAATCAACCACCCAAACAAATTATAGTTATTACTAAGCAATACAATTGCTTGGCACTATTAGATAAAATACATAAAGATAGATTCAAAGCCATTCTTTATTGAAGTTGTTTTTACTTATCTCAAAGAAATTAATTAAGGAAATGATTATGAAAAAACATACCTCCTTCTGGGAAGGGCACGAAGAGAACGTTGAGATTATCACTAATGTCGTCTAGATGAGAGGAACTTTCCAAGAGGCTTGCTATTCCAGGGAGGACAGATTTCGCAATGCATGTACGTAGTGTTAAACATTCACACTTTGACAGTGGAGAACATAAACCTTTCATTTCCATTATTGACATTACCTTTTTCCATCATAAGCAAAATGCAAAACAAATTAAATAAATAAATAAAAAAAAAGATGAAACCAATTAGAAGATTCTAGCACATTGTTTCGCAGACCTTACCATAAAAATATTGCGTTTAAAAAAATGAACAAACTAGATGGAATTTCTTCAGCTGAGTTTAATTTTCAAATCATGTATCACAAACAATCACTCCTTACATTGGAGCAAAAGTAACCACAAAGGATAGGATCAGCTTAGTTGAAACCTAAGAATAATATTGATTGTAATCGACAACAATGGACTTTGATAATAAACATCATTTAGCACAAAAAAACAAGCGCAAAAGATGGACAAAATATGAAAACATTTGCAACTGCAGGAACACTAGGGAACGAAAAGGAACATTTTTTTCAATAATTTATAGACGTTGGCAATATGGCTTCGCCATGGGCGCTACCCATGCCATAGACTAACAGTTCGTACTAACCATTACTATACCATCCTAATTTAAGATATATGCACAATTTTTTTTTATGAATTGAATGGCAAAGTTGCAAACAGAAATAATCCTTCACTATTCGAGGATTTAAATATTCCACCGTCGCCTTCATAGATGTCCATCAATTCCCAAAATTCTCTCAAGATCAAAATTTTCAGATTTGCTTTGCTAACATGCAAACGAGTGAAGCCATAAAAGTAATACAATTCTAAATTCTCCAATACAGGACTACCCTATAATATCTTGTCAATCACACCATCATTCAACTTGACATGCCCAATTGACAATGTCTTCAGCAATTTCCAGCAAACAACTCCTTTGGGCATCAAGCTGCACAAGGAAAAACGCAATTCTCTGAAGGATGAATTGGTAAACAATTCCTGTGGCAAGACGAATAGAGTCCATGAGTTGATATTGGAAGCGAATTCCGACATGTAATCGAAATCAAGCACGAATTTTTTAAGCATAGAAGAGTTGCAGAGAAGTAGGGTTTTGTCAACAAATCTGATAAAGTCATAACATTATCCGAAAGTAGGCTGAAAAATTATCAGAAAGTTGCCCATAGTGGCGGCCACCGGTCGCAACTGGGGATGGCAAGTGGTGACAATGAATTGGACAAATAGGTAAGAAATAAATTAATAGATATTATGATATTTTTAAATTCCTTATATTATTACCCCATTTCTTTTATCATGTATTTTGGATGCAATCTAAAAATAATGATAACATAGCGTTTGTTTGGCATCTCAATCTTGAGTTAAAATAATCATAAAATGACAAAATAGATTAAAAAATAAAATGTCACATCCAAACTATAATTATTTCATTTTTTTTCTTATAAAAATCAAAAAAATCAAAAAGGCCATCCCAAATCAAACTTTTTAGCCCATGCTAAAATAGTCAAAAAACCAACACACATCCCAAACGAACCCATAATAGAGTATAGTTTTGTAAATTGGAAAGATAGTATTAAGTTGAAATCAAATATTTTTATGAATAATTTCATTATGGAGATATTTATTTTTATGGAATTCAACAGGTTGGGAAAATTATTCACTTTGGTTTAGATAATCAATTTTTGGATTCAAAAATCTAAAAACATGTTTGGTTTAGTATCTTTCAAAATATAATTCAAAATTATTTTTTCTCTCTTCTATCCTCTTTTTTTTTTTTTTTTTTTTTTGGACAAATCATATTAAACTCGCTCAAACTATCAACCAATTATACTTTACCTCCCTCAACCTATTTGAATTTGAACATTAAATCCTTCTGTTAGATATTTGAATGAAAAATTATCAAGTGTTGTGCACATGATGATTATATTAAATTTTTATAAAAGATAAAATAGGGTAATTTGGTCCTAAAATTCATCATGTGCACAACACTTGATAATTTTTCATCCAAATATCTAACAGATAACTAACAGTATGACTTAATGTTCAAATTCAAATAGTTTGAGGGGGCAATTGTTGGGTTTAAAACATTAGGGGTTAAAGTGTAAATGGTCAATAGTTTGAGGGGTTTAATATAATTTGCCTTTATATATATAAATATATATCAATCAATTAATTATTTTTTCTCTCTCCTCTCTCATTCGCTCACATGTACACACCAATCAACCAATTTTCTCACACCATATATTGAACTATAAAAAATAAATAAAGAAACATACAAATCATCCGAAAATTATTTTCAAAGCTCATAATCAAATAAGTTTTTATTTTTAAAACTCTTTCAAAAACCTTATCTTTCAAAATATAATTTAAAATTCAAAACTCTTTTAAAAAACTAAACCAAACGGAGCCACCATACACTTATTATGTTTTAATTAAGGATGAAATTTTTTTGATATGACATATTAACACTTAGACACGAAGTGAAAATGTTATGGCACGAGAACAACAAAGATTTTTTTTTTTTTTTTTGATCGAATTAATGTTAAAAAATTCTAAATAATTCTAACATCTTGAAATGACCCGATACTATTATAACCAATATGACATAACTCCCACCCCAAATATATATTTATATAAAAATGTTTATACATATATATATATATATATACACTACTAGAAATAGGACTTTTTGCGTCTATTTTTTTGCGACTGATTATTTAACGGTCGCAAAAAATCATTTTTAGACATCAAACATCTCATTTGCCTGACCCAATCGTGTTCTTACAAAAATAAAAATAAATAAAACATCTCATTTTCCTGACTCTCTTTCTTTCCCTCTCAATCCCCCCATTTTTTTTTCTTATTTTCCAAATCTGGGCTCTCTCTTTCTCTCCCTTTCAAAATCTGTCTCTCGCTCGAATCTCACTGCCTCTCTTGCTCGAATCTCTCACTCGAATCTCTCGATCGATTCAACTTTCTCAAGTCCACTACTGTTGAAGATTTCATAATCGGTAAGCCTAAACACATCTTCATCGATTCAACTTTCTCTGTAATGATCTGAGAAATCAAGTGTGCTCTGAATTGCTCTCTCTCTCTTTTGTCTCAGTTTCTCTGTGAGATCAGAGAAATCTCTTCGTTAACTTGTTGTTTATCCACTAATCTCACTGAAATCTTCTCGATCGATCAGATTGTTGTACAGAAAGTGAAGGAATCGGAGAAAACCGAGCAGGACTCGCTTCTACTGGTAAAGTTTAGCTTTTGATTTTCATTTACAGATGATCATAGCAACCTATATATAAATTTCACTATCTACTTATCTTCATTTTTGTGGATCGAATTCTGGAATTATAATTTGAACTTACGGTTTTCTCATATTCAGAATTAGATCATTGCTTTGAATAAGTCATAGTATGCTGAATATGGATGTTGTTTTGTTCAGTAATTTATCAGTGAATTTTACTGTAACTCAAATCCGAATTATGATCCAGAGAGTTTGAATCTGAAATGATTTTTTTCTACATTTAGAATTAATTTCGCTAGTGTTGCAACCTAGATTTGAATTTCATTATCTGCTTGTATTCATTGTTTGTGGATCAAATTCTGGAATTCTAATTTGAATTTATGAAATCAATTTCATGGTTTGTTTGGTGCAACTTATTTGAGGCTGCTTGTGATTTTTTCTCTTCAAAATCTGTCGGTATTTGTTGCAACTTATTCATACTGTAATGAGATGAAAATAGCTGTAAAAGTTTATTATGGGGAAATTGGGAAGGGTGTTTTTAACTTTTGTGTTTTGATTATTAACTTTTGGATTATAAAAAGTTACACCAAATGAGGCCATCATTATTGTTATCATCGTCTTTATCATCTAAATGTTGAATTTGTTATCATCCTATTTTTTTCATACACAAGCCCTGTTCTAGAAAGAATCATGTGCACTAGGTCCTATTTTTTCATACGCAAGCCCTGTTCTAGAAAGAATCATAACTCCGGTTTTTTTATTATTTATTTTTATTGAGTTGGAAATGAAGAACAGATTTGACTTTGTTGATCTCAATCTTTCATTGGGCAGATACTGATATTATTGCAGCAGTGTATCTCAGTTCTAAAAAATAACACATTTTTAGATTTCAAAATTTTCTTTGACCAACATCATTTTCTACAGCCTGTCCTGGTAGCGAAACTCATGACCATTTCCTTTATCTAAGGTGATCCCAATGATCGTAATGATCGAAAGTAAACTTCTGTATCTAAAAAAAGTATCTTAAAAAGTACATGGATCATATTTATTTTAAGTGATTCATTTTTGGATACTTTTGTGATAAATATATTGAACTTTTCCATATAATGATTCCAGCATTCCTTTGTCCCAAAGAGGTGCCACAATAATCAACTAGTCTGGGCCCTTGAGTTGAAGGGCCATTTGCTCTCTCTCTCTCTCTCTCCCTCTCTCTCTCCCACACACACACAGACACATACACACACACACACACTAGGCATACTTAATTTAGGCCCAAAACTCAAAACGGAAACACATTTTTTGAGTTTACATTTTTTGGCTAAATTTATAAACTGAGACCACTGATTTATAAATCAAAAATTTACCAAACAGGTTTTTATTTGAGTTTTTTAAAATTTTGTAAATATAAACAGAAAACTGAAAACGTAAGTGTTACCAAATAGCACCTAAGATTTCAAAATTTTCTTTGACCAACATCATTTTCTACAGCCTGTCCTGGTAGCGAAACTCATGACCATTTCCTTTATCTAAGGTGATCCCAATGATTGTAATGATCGAAAGTAAACTTCTGTATCTAAAAAAAGTATCTTAAAAAGTACATGGATCATATTTATTTTAAGTGATTCATTTTTGGATACTTTTGTGATAAATATATTGAACTTTTCCATATAATGATTCCAGCATTCCTTTGTCCCAAAGAGGTGCCACAATAATCAACTAGTCTGGGCCCTTGAGTTGAAGGGCCATCTGCTCTCTCTCTCTCTCTCTCTCCCACACACACACACAGACACATACACACACACACACACACACACACTAGGCATACTTAATTTAGGCCCGACAAGCTATTTTAGTAATTTTTTAACTTTTTGGCTAATATTTGAGATTAAAAAAATTAATATATTTGAAATGACTTTTTGGGTTTTTTTAAAAAAAGATGTGTAAAAAATGAAGAGAAAATGAAATATTTGACTTTTGGTATAAGTTATAATTTTTTTTATTTTTTTAGTAATTTTTTGACTTTTAGCCTAAAATAATCACTTGTCAAACGAGGCCTTAATCAAGCATAAGACACCAAAATACCACGATATCTTAAAAGAGGGATTATTTTATGATCACATAAAACTTTCACAAAATGGGACATAGAATCTCATATTGTGTCCCATTATGTGAAAATCATATGTGCACTTATTCATTGTATCCGGACTGATGGTCTTGTTATGTATTAAAACAAGCTACTGATTATAATGCTCTGTCACGGATCTCTTATTATGGTCTTGTTATGTCTTGTTATGGTCTTTTTATGTATTAAAACAAGCTATTGATTTCCTATTTTATCACCATCTGTCGTTTTATCATCTGGATGATGCCCATGTATTATGACCCTCAGGGGGGGCGGGCGTGATAAGGGAGTAAAAGTTGTTGGTGTTCTTGCGAAATGATAGCACGATTTTTTGCACATGAAGTTGGCAAATAACTTAAGCTTGTTTAAGCAGAATTTGTATCTCTGAACTAGACAAATCATTGTGGTTTTGACATCAAAATGTGTGTGGGTGTTAAACATAGGTTTAAGGGGAGCTAACTTAACGTAATCCTGAACGACAATTTGATAACATGTGGGTGACTGAATGAACAATTAGGCAATTTGATATACCATCAGGCAAACATATGCTCTGAGAGTGAGATGTTGAATTTTACTTTTGCACAAAATGTTTCTCATATACCTTCTTCTGAATGCAATTGACCAGTATGATACTACACAGGCAGATAGGAAGTAGAACAGTCAGGCTTGAGCTCACTAACCTTCAATAGTTGCGTCTCTACTATAATTTGGCACTTCATGATGTTGTTGTTCCTCAACAGATTCTATATGCTGCAAGAACACCATTAACTTAAAATTTTACTCCCAATATTTTGTTTGTTGCTTAAAATTAACTTACACCAATATTCGTGCAATTTTTTTTTTATGTTTATACCTGGACTTTTTTTGCATATATTTATTTAGTCTAGATGACAAGGCTAAAAATGTGGTTCATATATTTGTTTATACCTGTGCTCATTCTTTTTATTGATGTGTACAAAAATAGTTAAAGAAATAGAAAGATGAACAAGAATTGGATTGATTTTCCAAATCGGATGTCAGTTGATTACATGAATGGGATTGATAACTTCTTGAGATTTGTATACAATAATAGAGATGAAAGTTCATCGATTAGTTGTCTGTGTCGATTTTGTAGTAATCGATACAATTTTTCACAAGAGGTTGTAAGGGAGCATCTTATTTCCAATGGGTTCGTAAAAAAGTACAAAAATTGGATTCATCATGGGGAATCCTATGTCCAATTACATGGTAACCAAGAAAACCAAACATTAATGGCGGATTCAGCGACTAGAGATGATGTGGTTGGGATGGTACAAAAGGCCCTGGGAATTCCACATATGGGTATTGAGAATGATGAACCAATTGCAACTGATCCAGACCAAGCAGGGGCAAGTGATCCAGCCCAAGCAGAGGCAAGTGATCCAAGCCATGTAGAGGAAGATGACCCGGTTCGGATAAGGGCAAATGATAAAACTCTGAAATATTTTAAACTTTTGGAAGATGCACAAACTGATTTGTACCTGGGGTGTCACAAATTTACTTCACTATCATTCATTATTCGAATTTTGCATATGAAGGTGCTCAATCAATGGACCGACAAGTCCGTTGACATGTTACTTGAACTTTTGAATGAGGCTTTTCCTACGGGGACAAAACTTCCAAGTTCATATTATCAAGCTCAGAAGGTTACTACAGATTTGGGTTTTACATATGAGACTTTTGATACTTGCCCCAATAGTTGTATGTTGTTCCGAAAAGAGGATACAAAGCTTGATAAATGTGTTATATGCAGTAGTTGTAGATGGAAACAAAATGGTAGTGTTGGAAATGATGAAAGGGAATCTGGTAAACGGGTAACAGCAAAACAGATGAGGTATTTCCCTTTGAAGCCAAGGTTGCAGAGATTGTTTATGTCATTGAAAACGACAAAGCTCATGAGATGGCATGCGGAAGAACGGGTTGATGATGGTGTGTTAAGGCATCCTACTGACTCCTTCGCATGGAAGGACTTTGATCGGCGAAAAACTTGTTTTGCTAGTAATAGTCGTAATGTACGTCTTGGGTTAGCTACAGATGGATTCAACCCATTTAGATCAATGAACATAGTTCATAGCACTTGGCCAATTGTGTTGATTCCGTATAATTTACCACCATGGATGTGTATGAAGCAACCAAATCTGATTTTGTCTATGTTGATTGATGGGCCAAAAGGACCTGGCGATAAGATCGATGTGTATTTGCAACCATTGATTGAGGAGTTGAAGAAATTATGGGATGAAGGTGAACAAACATTTGATGCATCAACCAATGAAATGTTTCAATTGCATGCAGCTTTGTTATGGACAATCAGTGACTTTCCTACCTATGCCAACTTATCAGGATGGAATACGAAAGGTGAATATGCTTGTCCTTGCTGCAATGTGAAAACTCAATCATATTGGTTGAAGCATGGTAGGAAGTATTCATACATGAGTCATCGTCGTTTCTTACCAGTTAATCATAAATTTTGAAAGGATAAAATATCATTTGATGGTAGTCGAGAATGGAGACTAAAACCTCAAATTTTATCTGGATCTGAGATGTTGCATCAGTTGGAATCAGAAGGTGTCCTTAGTCAGTACAAGAGGAATGACCTTAAGGAAATGTTCAGGAGACAAGAAGAGAGGGAAAATAACGGAAAAAAAAGCCATAATTGGAAGAAAAAAAGTATATTCTATGAATTGCCGTATTGGGAGCACAACTTAATAAGACACAATCTCAATGTGATGCACATAGAGAAAAATGTCTACGATAATATATTGTGGACAATACTAGGAGTTGGAGGAAAATCCAAAGATAATGTGAATGCTCGATGTGATTTGCAAGAAATGAATATCAGAAAACCATTGCACTTGCAGTCAAGAGGGTTCAATAAAGTTTATGTACCTCCTGCACAATTCACAATGATCAATGATGAGAAAGAGATGTTTCTCAAAGAACTCAAGGAAGTAAGAGTACCAGACGGTTATGCATCCAATATCTCACGACATGTGCGCTTACAAGATAGAAGTATTTGGGGTCTTAAGAGCCATGATAGTCATATTTTGATGCAACAACTTATTCCTTTAGCTATACAGAGGTCCTTGCCTAAGAATGTGATTGAACCATTGATTGAGTTGAGCACTTTTTTAGACAATTGTGCTCCAAAGTGAATCGTACAAGTGATTTGGAATATGTTCAGGATCGTATCGCAATAACTCTTTGTCACCCTGAAAAAAATTTTCCATCATCTTTCTTTGACATAATGGAACACTTGCCTATACATCTTGCTGATGAAGCTTTGATCGCTGGAGCAATACAGTTTTGATGGATGTACCCGATTGAAAGGTTTCTTCTTATATTGAAACAATATGTGCGTAATCGAGCTCATCCGGAGGGCTCAATAGCTAAGGGGTATTTGATGGAAGAATGCATGAACTTTTGTTCTCGCTATCTCCTTGATGTGGAAACCAAATCTAATCAACCGAGGAGAAACAACGAAGGTGATAACAACATGGGTCGAGCTGTAGGCAAAAGTACAACATTTTATCTTAATGATAATGAATTACAACAGTGTCACCGATATGTGTTGTTCAACACAAGTTCAGTTGCACCGTTCATAAGGTATTTTATCACTTCCCCAGTATTGTAAAATTCTAAAATGAAATCTATATGATATTTACTATTCTCTTTCAATTTACACAGCAAACACCTTGAAGTCATCAAGAGCAAAATGCCACGTGCAAGCGATCATCAAATTCAATCAGAGCATTTCGAAACATTCTACACTTGGTTTAAGGACCATGTATGTATTTAGATATTTCATTTCACATATCTAAATATACATAAATTTTGAGTTAAAGTTGAAGTTGAATTTATATTTGTCTTTTTAATAGGTTCAGACCTTGCGAAGGACAAGTAATATTACATTTACTGAAGAAATCAATAGATTAGCAGATGGTCCTCACACCTTGGCTAGGCGGTTCAATGGTTACATTATCAATGGGTTTCGTTTTCGTGTGAAGGCTGTGGATGATTGTCGGGTGACTTAAAATAGTGGTGTAGCTTTGAAGGCTGATACAATGAGTTATGCTAGTCGGAAGGACAAGAGTCCTCGCGTTGGTGCTGTCTACTACTATGGACAGTTGACTGATATTGTCGAAATCCGGTACACTAACAATATAAAATATGTGCTGTTTAAGTGTGATTGGGTTGATAACACTAGAGGGAAAATGGAAGACGCTTTCAAATTCATATTAGTCAACTTCAATCGTTTATTGTACCCAACCGATCGTGTTAGCAATGAACCTTTTATATTATCATCCCATGCCGAGCAAGTTTGGTATGTTCCTGATCCCCTGGAACCAGATTGGCAAGTTGTGGTAAAGATGTCTCAAAGAGGTCTTTTTGATATGAATTCTAATGATGACCATCAAGTTGAACCCTATATGACTCAACATTTGGAAGACAACGCTATGCTTCGTGATGAAGAAATTGGTTGGGTAAGAGAAGGAATAGAAGGAGCAACAATTGATGTTAATGAAGAGTGTTGAACTTCATTTGTGATTGTTGATGAAAAGTTTAAATATTGTTAAAACGTCTCAATTCTTAATTGTTGATTCGTGAGAAATTTATATATGTTTATGTGTTGTTTTATTATCAAGTGTAGAGCTTCATAAAGATTTTCTTTCTTTTTATAATGAATGTTTACTTGCTGTGGTGGTTATTTTTTATTCAATTACAATGTCGGTTCTGATAGTTACGAGCTTAGGAGACATCGTTGTGGACTTGCATAGGGATCTCTGTTCTTTGAAATGGCCAATGTAATTGAGAGGGAAATCACCACCTTGCAATTGAAAGTATGTTAAAGAGTTTATACGTAATGTTTATGTTGCGAGTTTTTAGTGTTTGATCTAATTATAAATTATTTGTTGATATAGGAAAAGAAGCTTGTTACGGGGATAAAAAGAACTGCTAAAATAGGAAATGAGGTACATTTTGGGACGTATTTCTCTTTCTTGTTTTTATATTCAGATTTATCTTCTTATTTTTATTTGTATCTGCATTCTGCAGGCAGCAACTAAAATTTCAATATGTCAGCTAATCAAGCTTAGGCAACAAATAACAAAATTACAAGCTTGCTTACAGCAAATGTCCCCAGCTAAGTAGACTGAAGAGGAAACTGAAGAGCTGACCAACCAGGTTCATTGTTTAATTTTTCTTGTTCTTCTATTGGTTTATGTTTTTCTTGTTATTACTTGACAGGTCCTAGATGAAATTGGAGTTGATGTTGCCTCTCTAGTCAGTATTCGCAGAGTTTTTTTATGAATTTATCTTGTTAGTTGATGCTATTTTTCATGTATTAAATTGGTTTTGAATTTAACTTGCACTCTTGACAGTTATCAGTATCGCCCAAAGGAAGAATTGTTGGAAAGATGACCGAGGATGCTAATAGGTATCTTGTGTTATATTATAAGTAAATTGATATCTATATTTCTTGTGTATTAACCTTTCCATATTTCTTTCATTTTAGGATGAAGCGGAAGAGGAAGACCTTTAAGGCCCCTTGCATTATAGATAAGGGTTTACGTGTGCGGGCAAGTCCCTCGCTACCTTACACTATTGATGGACCATCTTCTCCATATGTTTCGAGGTAAACTTTACTGATGAAGTTCTATTTGTTTTGAAACTGATTTGTATCAGTTGTTTATATTTATATGTTGTGTTATATTATTAGTAAATTGATATCCATATTTCTTGTGTATTAACCTTTTCATATTTCTTTCATTTTAGGATAAAGCGAAAGAGGAAGACCTTTAAGGCCCCTTGCACTATAGATGAGGCTTTACGTGTGCGGGCAAGTCCTTCGCTACCTCACACTATGGATGGACCATCTTCTTCATCTATTTCATCTTCACATACAATATCAACTACCTTAATATGACGAGGTCGAGGATTCGCCCGAGGGATAAAGGAATGGGGTACAGGCACTAAGATCCAAGTAAAATTTGATGATAAGTTTTAGCCGGTGGAGGATGATGGCAAAAAGTTGAAGGGACAATTGGGGTTGATCGTGCGCAATGGGCATAGAGTCCCACTTACATATCTCAGTTAGAATGTGATGCATGTTGATATAAAGGAGAATATTTGACAGGAGGTGAAGGTATATAGTTTTCCCTTTTGCTAATAACGGTTAGGGTTTATGCTTAGATTTTTGAATTTTTCCAAGTTATTAGTTATTAGTTATTTGATTTCTGATTTCTTGTTAATTGTGTTTAGGGTTTTTTTTTAGTTATTAGTTATTAGCTTGCTTGTGCATTTGTGTATGCTCTATAATTATGAGGATGAAATTGGCTTTCAATTTGTGCTTTGTAGGACAACTTGGTATACTATTCAGATGAATTCAAGGAGGTTTGTATGCGACTTTGTAGGACATCGTGGAAAGATCATAAAAGCAAGACAAAGTCTAAGTATTGGGTTCCATTCAAGAATGATCCGGACATTGCTTCTAGAGTACCTAGTAACATAGTGCCAACCCAGTGGAGGAAACTTGTGCAATATTGGGCGAGTAAAGAAGTATAGGTATATGTATTCTTTATAAAATTTTAATTAATGTTTTAATGATAAATAACTAATGTTTGATATTCTAACCAATGTCATAGGCGATTGCTAAGAAGAATTCTTTTAATCGGGGATTTCGTGGGCCTCCACATACGACCGGAAAGACATCTTTCTCAGATATTCGTTTCAATGTATTGATCTTGTGGTTGCACCTAAAGCATCATCTGAGACTGCATTTGGTGCTGCAGCTGTAGCCGCACCTAGTGCACTTGGTGTGACACTTGTGGCTGTAGTTGTGGTTGCACCTAATGCTGCACTTTTGACTTATGATGTTGTGAAGACTTCAGCTCCTAACTTGAAAAAAATTGCAGATGACACATAAAGGAGAGCGGATAGATAAGATGAGTCTCTGAAAGAGGGCATACAACCTGAATGATCCCGATGTGGTGGCAATTGTGGTATGTCTATGGTTTAAATGTTTTTACACATATTTTGCTTTTTACCAAACATTGTCCTTACGTTTTCAAAATGTAGGAGGAATATAATGTGCATCTTTGGAAAGTTCCTAAGGAGCAACATACGATTGAGTATTGCGATGGGATTTATCATAAAATCGTTGGGAATGATGGACATGGGTATTGCAAGACCTATGGGAGAGGAGTGCCCTGGAGTGCGGTGTATGCGCGAGGCAGCGGTCCATCCCAATCATTAGCAGCCCCTTCATTTATTGATGAGATCACACAGCGTGTGACACAAGACGTTGAGTCTAGGTTCACTACGATGATCAAGAACCTAACGGCACGTGTTTTGTTCTTAGAGTCACAGGGTGTGGCTCAGAGTATGAGCTTGAGAGAGGTGCAATACATACAAATTAATGAATTTTACGTTTTATCAATTTGTATATATACATATGGAAATTATTAACACATTATACTAACATATTGTAGGTGTTAGATGCATCTAGTGGTCAACAAGCTTCAAAAGAAAATGAATAGGTATGCAACTCTACTATATTTTTGCATGTATTTATGATATTTGATGTGTATGAAGTTCTTGAAGGATATCACTATATTTCCCCATGTATTATGTCGTATTAGGTCTGAAATTTATCCCTAGAGCATATCATATGGACCAAATCTGGTATTGCAAATGGGTTTTCTTCAGACTGTAATCTGATTATTTGTTATATATATTATTGATCTATATATATATATATATATAGTTACACATTAAACGTGTTTTTTTCCTGATCTTTGTTATTTAACTACTGATAGTTCTATATGCAAGTGATTTATGTAGTCATTTGATTGCATGATTTCTTGGGTGACTGCATGATTCTGATTTGTTTTATATGGATTTGCATTTGTTGGTTTTATATTTGTTGTGATGGATTGAACAAGTTTGAGATACCTGTAATTTAAGCACTTTGTTGTTGAGAAGTTCTTTTTAAAACTGTTTTATGGAGATGGGCTGAATAAAATTTTGGTGGAAGAAGATTATTTGGGAAAATTGTCTCGTATGGAAGGCAGTTTGTGATAACATTTTGACTACTGATTTCTTGTGGCGAGGATATTAATTAGCCCTTTTGACTTATTAAATGGCTCTACTTATTTTGGAAAGTTATATGCAAATCTGATTTTCAGGAGTTGGATCACCTAATAATACATTTGTGCCTTCAGTCAGGCCTTTTATTTTGCTAGATTTTGGGGGTCACATGGTTGTATACTTCCTTAGTCAAAGGAGTTTTCTTATATAGAGGATGATTTTGGATGAATTTTTTCTTTCGATGCACTCTTTTTTTTCCTTCCTGTGTTTTTCTTATGGTCAATTTGTATAGCCTTCATGAAGTAGAAAAACTATAAATATTTAGGTGTTGTCTTTTTTGTTGGATTTTCTTATTGAAGTCTTTGCCTAGAGTCCTATATATTTGTTTCTTCAAAATGAATCTGTAGTTTTGTGATGATTTTGGATGTGATACGCTGCTTAAGGCAGCTTTCTTACATCAGAGTGTTTGTCTCTTGTAAACATTCTCTTCTTCTTCATTTTTGTTTATTTATTTCACATGTTATTTAACATGTTTATTCTTGTAGACATCCTCTTCTTCTTAACATGCTTAAGACAACTTTATTCTTGAAAATATGTTGACAGATCAAAAAAAAAAAAAAAATCTGACCAGCTACTGTAATTCGTTTTCCAATTTAATATGAGGTGACCTGTCACTCATAATCATCGATTGTCTTCTCCCTTCAATTTTTTGATGTCAAGTAATTTGATTAATTTAAAAAAGGTCTAATCGTTATGAAATTTTTATTTTCTGAACAAGATAATATGCATGTGTGAACCAAAAGATCTTTACTTGATTTTTAGAATACAAGTGTTGAAACTGTTGGCAAGTTACACCAGTTTTTTCAATTTCTGGTTGATGTGATTTTCTCTGTGAGTATGCAGCCGAAGGACTGGTTTTTCGTAATAGTGTTTACTGGATACGTTTTGATGAAGAATTTTCTAAGAAGGTAATCTTTTTTTGCCTCATACATGTAGATCTTTGGGGTATTAGTCATTATCGTTTTCATTTTACCATTGGAGACACTATCTGACAATTAGGGATTATTTCTGTTTTTGGGTTCAGAAATTTAAATCTTCAAGCCCCTTTGGTAATCCAAAGCCATCCACCATTGTTTAACTACTAAATATTCAACACTTCAATTTTGACAGATTTTGATATTGCAGAGTGATCTACTAAGAAGAAATGCAAAAAAACTGAAAAACAAAATTTAATTTCTTGATTTCATTATTTTCTTATCTTATTATCGAAACAGAGTATTATAAATGTAGTCAAACCTCAAATGATAAAGCTAAAAATTGGAAGTTTTTTTTGTGAATGTGCTCTATAGACAGGGTGGCCCATACTAAAATAGTGGCCCATGACTGCAGTATGTAGGCTGTCACTATTAACCGACATCAACCAAATACAATTCTATTGCTATATTAAGTCTGCATTTTATGTTTAGATCTACCACAAATATGTTGAAACACCAAACCTTTTGCGTAGGATGCTGTTGATTGTCCGGAGTGGATTGTTCCTTTTCATGTCTTCAAATCATTGGCAGAAGAGGTATAAATTTACTTGGTGCATTAATACATGTTAGTCTATCCCTTAATACATGTTAGTCTATCCCTTATGTCTGCTTAAAAGTGGTCATTTCTTCATTTAAACACGGAAATGGTGGTCTGAAAAAGCCTATATACTTTGGATTGGCAACAAATGCGTGTAAATGAAGGAGCTTTTCCCCTCGTCATATTGCTTTCATTTCTTGCACTGGAGAGTACAAGGTGTTATGCCAGTTCATTGATAGAGTGGAGAAACACCCGAGCAAGAAAATTGATGAGAAGATTGGCCAGTTCTGGATTGTATTTTTTTCATAAAAGAACTTTTCCAAGTTTAGTTGTAATAACTTTTACATATGGCTCAAATTTTGGGACTCAAATAGAATGTTCAATAAAACTATAAAATGCTATACTGTCTGAATTCTTGTCATTGTTATTCCTAGAGTGCTTAACGTTACACTTTTATTTATCTATTTATTTATTTATTTTTATTTTTATTTTTAATTTTTTGCGACGGTGACAAGATGGTCGCCAAAGATCATGTTAGTATTTTTCTTTGTTTTTTGCGACGGCAAAATAGGGTTGCCATAAGTAGTTTAGGTGGTCGCAAATAATTTGCGAACGTTGCTTTGCCGTCGCAAAAAGTATTTGCCACCCCCATATTCGCGACCCCCATTTGCCGTCGCATAGGCCGTCGCAAAAAGTCTTTTGTGACTTTTTTTGTTATTTGCGACGGTTTATAGCGGTCGCAAAAAGTATTTTTTTTAGTAGTGATATATATATATATATATATTTACATTGATTGTTTGTAAAA